CAGGCAGATCACGAGGTCAGGAGATCGAGACCATCCTGGCTAACATGGTGAAACCCCGTCTCTACTAAAAATACAAAAAACTAGCCGGGCGAGGCGGCAGGCGCCTGTAGTCCTAGCTACTCAGGAGGCTGAGGCAGGAGAATGGCATGAACCCAGGAGGCGGAGGTTGCAGTGAGCCGAGATTGTGTCACTGCACTCCAGCCTGGGTGACAGAGTGAGACTCCATCTCAAAGAAAAAAGAAAAAGCATAGACAAAGCAAGACTCTGTCTCCAAAAATAAAAAAATAAAAAATAAAACAAAACAGGTCATTTCCCCCCAAAACTGCACGGGGCTCCCTTTCCCACACACTGGGCAGGTGAGTGACAGGGAAGGTGGATTCCTCCCATTCTCAGTCTGGGCCAAAGGTAAGTAGGAAGGCAAGTATGGGGTCAAACGTGAATGCCTTCAGGGAAGTCTGCCACACTGGATCACTCCTTGGACCCCTGATTCCTTAGGAATGCAGTGAGCGATCAGATCCTGGAAAGCCATCCCTCATTTCTTGTGTGTTTTTAACTTTCACATGTGCTCCCTGAGGACTGAGCTGTCTGCCCCTTGCCCTTCCTCTAGTGCCCTTGTTGATGGAACTGGAGCCGTCACTTGGCTAAAACCCACCCTTTGAAATCCTGCAGTGTGATCGTGTCCCCCAGCAGGTCCAAGAACTCCTTAAAAGCTGGGCTCTCCTCATTGTTCCCAAATAGCTCCTCCTCCAGGGTCTGAAAGAGAAACAGGAATAAGGGCAGGAATTAGAAAAATCCTTTGTGATGTAAAGGAAGGAATATGGTTACCCAGACACCTGGTCCCTTTCTTCCTCTCTCCCTATCTCCCAGCACATCCACCATAGCTGGTAGGACTGGGGCAGAGAGAGGACAGACTGGTGGAGACTCACTCCCAGCACTTTGGGAGACCGAGGTGGGTGGATCACTCGAGGTCAGGAATTCGAGATCAGCCTGGCCAACATGGTGAAACCCCGTCTCTACTAAAAATACAAAAAGTAACTGGGCGTGGTAGTGGGTGCCTGTAATCCCAGCTACTCAGCAGACTGAGACAGGAGAATTGCTTGAGCCTGGGAAACAGAGGTTGCAGTGAGCCAAGATCATGCCATTGCACTCCAGTCTGGGTGACAGAGTGAGACCCTGTCTCAAAAAAAAAAGAAAGGAAAATATAAAGAACTCTCAAAACTCTAAAGTAATCAAAACCACAATGATACACCACTTCCCACCTACTAGGGTGGCCACGATGAGAAATAAAGGCAATAAAAGGTAATAACAAGTGTTGGTGAGGGTGTGGAGAAACCAGAACCATCACATGCTGCTGCTGAAAATGGAAAATGACACAGCCACTGTGGAAAGCAGTCCGGCAGGTCCTCAAAAGGCTAAATGCAGAGTCACCATATGACTTGGCAACTTCACCCCCTGGCATACACCGAAGGCTAAACACAGTCACCATAGGATCCGGCGACTTCACTCTCGGGCATATACCGAAGGCTAAACGCAGAGTCACCATATGACTCGGCAACTTCACTCCCGGGCATATACCGAAGGCTAACCACAGAGTCACCATAGGATCCACAACTTCACTCCCGAGCATATACCGAAGGCTAAACGCAGAGGCACTATAGGATCCAGGCACATACCGAAGGCTAACCACAGAGTCACTATAGGATCCAGGCACATACTGAAGGTTAACTACAGAGTCACCATAGGATCAGGCATATACCAAAGGCTAAACACAGAGTCACTATAGGATCCAGGCATATACCAAAGGCTAAACACCGAGTCACCATAGGATCCAGGCATATACCGAAGGCTAAACAGAGTCACTATAGGATCCAGGCATATACCAAAGGCTAAACACCGAGTCACCATAGGATCCAGGCATATACCGAAGGCTAAACACAGAGTCACCATAGGATCCAGAAACTTCACTCTGAGGTATATACCAAACTTGTACATGAGGTATAAACCAAAGTTGCCGGATCCGGCAACTTCACTCTCAGGTATATACCAAAGAGAAATGAAAACATGTCCATGTCCACAGAAAATGTATACATGAATATCAATAGCAGCACTATTCGTAATAGCCCTAAAGGAGAAAGAACCCAAACGTCCTTCCGAGGAATAGATAGACAAAATGTGGGCAATCCACACAATGGAATATTATCTGGCCATAAACAAGGAACAACGTGCTGATACATACTACGACCTGGATAAACCCTGAAAACATTACGCTGAGTGAAAGAAACCAGACACAAAAGGCCACATATTATGATTCCATTTATAAAAGGTCTAGAAAAGGCAAATCCGTAGAGACAGAAATTAGATTAGGGTTGGCAGGAGCTAAAGGAAAGGGGGATGGGGAGTGACTGCTGGTGAGTGTGGGGTTTCTTTTGGGGGTGATGAAAATGTTCTGTAGTGAGGACAGGTGCACAATTCTGTGGTTACACTACAAACCACTGAATTGTATACTTTATTGAGATATAAATTACATATCATTATGAATTATATGGTATGAGAATTATGCTGATGTGCTCAATAAAGCTGTTATTTTAAAAAATATTTTTAACTCAACAGCTAAAAAAAATCCAATTAGAAAATAGTCAAAAGACATGAAAACGGCCAGGTGTGGTGGCTCACGCCTGTAATTGCAGCACTATGGGAGGCCAAGGCAGGCGGATCACTTGAGGTCCGGAGTTCGAAACCAGCCTGGCCGACATGGCGAAACTTCGTCTCTACTAAAAATGCAAAAATCAGCTGGGCATGGTGGCACGTGCCTGTAGTCCCAGCTACCTGGGAGGCTGAAGTGGGAGGATCACTGGAACCTGGGAGGCAGAGGTTGCAATGAGCCGAGATCACACTACTGCACTCCAGCCTGGGTGACAGAGTGAGACCCTGTCTCAAAAAAATAAAAAGACATGAACAGGCATTTCCCCTGAGAGGATATATAGATGGCAAATAAGCACATGAAAAGATGTCCAACATCATTAGCCATTCGAGAAATGCAAATTAAAACCATAAGGTGATATCACTACACAACTATTAGAATGGTTAAAATAAAAAATAGTCACAACACCAAATGCTGGCAAGGTTATAGAGAAACTGGATCATTGCTGGTGAGAAGAACCACTCTAGAAAACAGTTTGCAGTTTCTTTTTTTTTTTTTGAGATGGAGTCTTTTTGAGACGGAGTCTCACTCTGTCGCCCAGGCTGGAGTGCAGTGGCGCAATCTCGGCTCACAGCAACCTCCACCTCCTGTGTTCAAGCAATTCTCCTGCCTCAGCCTCCCGAGTAGCTGGGACTACAGGTGCCCACCATCACGCCTGGCTGATTTATTTTTGTATTTTTAGGAGAGACGGGGTTTCACCGTGTTAGCCAGGATGGTCTCAATCTCCTGCCCTCATGATCCACCCGCC